ACCACACTCAACTTTATCTGTTCTATACAACTCTATCATCACAGGAAATTCCTTAATACATCCAGACCAAATCATGTCACACATGGGTAAGAGAGGGAAGCTGTGCAGCAACAGGGGGCAAAATCAGATCGGAGTTGAGACTGCAACGAATATGAGGGGCGTCCGGCTCCATCTTACCAAAGAGGACCGACTCGTTTCGGACCCCTCCAATATTGATGATGCCTATAGGCATACCCCTTTTATGAGCTCGTTCGACCAACCTCCATGCTGAAAAGGTGGCAAGACTGCTTCCAAGGATGAGAAGCCTTCCTGCATCATCAATTGCCTCTTCTGCAGCCGTTTTCACTGCTGGGTGAATATTTTCCCCAAACATAGTGACCGCAGGCTTGAGAACGCCAGCAGTCGAAGATGGTAGCCATGCACCGTCGCTTTCTACCTCGACTCTAGCCGGCGTGCCATCTCGGAGACGAGGAGGTTTCTCTAAACAAGTAGAACAAGCTGGGTATCGGAACGTAGAGTAGGGTGCCTCGGCTAAATCCACATCTCCATCTGGGTTAAGCTTAAGGCCTTTCCGTCGCTGTTCCTCAGGATTATTTGTGTTGAGAGCCCCTGTGTCAACCATCTTGGCCAAAAACTCTGCCCAGGCTGGATTAAGTTTTTCAAGGGACTTCTGGAATTCGTCTCGAGGGAATTGATTGTGACAACTGGTACAGACGACCGATCTTAAGTAGCCATGAAGTTCGATGGTTGGTAGTTTCGGATGAGCTATTGGATGGAAAGAGTCGACATTTTGTGTTACTACGGAGCTGAGATAACCCTTCGCGCTGAGGTCCCTAATAGCCCAATGCGTTGAGTTGGGCTTTGCTTTCACAAGTCCTGGCCAGCCGACAAAGCTTCTAGCCCAGTATCTCTTGCGAAACTCATGCCGTGTCAGAAATTCATGAAAATAAATAGGCCGATATGTTTTGTTTGTGACGTATGTGCCATTCTCTCCTCGATAATCAGACAAGCCAGATGCCACCGAGATTCCTGCACCAGTCAAGAGAACAGTCTGAGAATGTCTCCCGACGTCAACGCCACGAAGGTAGGGTGACGGAGCAGCAGTCAAAAATGACAACAGAGCATCAATAGCTCCTGAAACAGTACGAGCAGACGGCGGCACAATTACTGGTGGAGGCAGCCGGCCGGTGAATGGGATTCTGATCGACGGAGTCGTCATTGAAGCCGCATAGTTGGCCGATACTGATGAAAGAAAAAGAATGTGTACGTTTGAGAGAGACTGCCGTTAGTTGCTCAACCAACTGTAACTCCATCGGGTACCATTGGGACAATATCAGTAGGTCTCTTTGATTTCCCATTGGGTTGGCCACTGATCGCAAATGCCGTCATTGATAGTAGCTGACTCATCCTGCAAAGAATCACCTGATCAGGGCTTTGTCTTCATGACATGCAGCGGAAGGTAACGTTTTTTATGCAGGGTGTCTATGCTTGTTGAGTTACATCTCGACAACTATGATATCATATACAATGCTCTATCAACAGGGTTTAACTCGTGAAAGGAGTCTCAATTGCCTCCCATTACAAAGGTGGTCTGTGCAGTCTCGACTACCCCGGATTTGTAACCACGTGACCGCCGAACAGAGTCTTCGAGCGTCATCGTTTTCAAGCCCTCTTTGTTGCCCTCACAGAATTGTGGAATTCCATGATAAAGTCGAGATTTTTCTTTATTTACCATCAGTAGCCTAAGATCGAACTGGGTGGACCACCCAATTCGTCCCTCTACTTGTGTTAGACATGTTTCAACCTCCAGTTGGTAATATAGATCTAGAAGCTCTCAGCGGTATTTGTGGGTATGTGTCTGGGCGAGGAGGTGTAAAAGATAAGTAACTAATGTTGACTAGATCCATATCCATTGCGTGTTGGGTTGTTGTATTTTCTCCCCAGATCATAGAGAATTTCCGTCGTGGCTCAGCAGATGGCTTGTCACTCCTCTTTCTTGTTGTCTGGTTAGCGGGCGATGTATTCAATATCCTCGGGGCTGTCCTGCAAGGCGTTCTGCCGACGATGATCATCCTGGCTGTGTACTACACACTCGCCGATATTGTCTTGTTGGGCCAATGTTTCTACTATCGAGGATTCACCCTGAGGGATGAACCGTCACCACCGAGCTCGCGCCTCCAGGAATCAGATGCCGAAGACCAGCCTTCGTTTCCTGGAAAGGTATCAGAGCGAACAGCTCTACTATCCGCAAAGGCGAATGATCATTCCTACCAGGCGCATCTTCAAGAGCACACGGGAAACGGACACTCAACGTCAGGACCGTCCGGTCAACAGTCCTCTCCACACCATCAAAATCACAGGAGACACTCCGCAACCTCCTTCAGGGATATTCTCCACTCCAACGTGGATGGAACACACCTCTCTCCCGTAACACCTTTTGTTGAACCATCAGCGAAGGAGGCACGTCCTGCGCGCAGAGTCTCCGCCCTCCAAAACGCCCTATTCAACCTCTCCGCCGTTATCTTAGTCTGCGCCGCCGGCGTACTTGGCTGGTATGTCAGCCCTGGATCATCAAAAGGTGAAGATAAGCAGGATGACAGCGGGTCTCTCTCCTTCGATACCCTGGGTCAAGTATTTGGCTACCTATGTGCAGTCTTGTACCTTGGATCTCGCCTACCCCAGATCTTACTCAACTACCGACGGAAGTCCACAGATGGTGTATCCCTGTTATTCTTCCTCTTCGCTTGTATTGGCAACTTAACTTACGTTCTTTCTATACTTGCTTACTCCCCGGTCTGCAAGGGGGAGTACGCCCAAGGAAGGGTCAGCCAATGTCGACCTGGCGAAGCTGCTGCCCTGTATGGTCGGTATATACTTGTGAACTTATCTTGGTTGATCGGGAGCTTAGGAACCCTGTTCCTTGATATGGTCATCTTTGCGCAATTCTTCTTGTATCAAGATAATGGGTACGGCGAGGCTGAGGGAACTAGCGAGGAAACGTTGAGGGGATGATTCCGTTCACTCCCACAAGCAGCCATGCTATGTCTCTGGTCTTTTTCTATTTTATTTTTTTCTGTCATCCTTGGTTTTTTCTGGCCTTATTTGCCTTCGACTGAAATTCAAGGGTGGCGTCACGAACAGAGGGGATTCAAAAGGCAGCTATTCTCCTTTCTTAGTCTTGCGCTTCAGGCTATGCTTTTCTCGTTGCGGGAGGCGTTTGGGGTTTTTTCTAAACTTCGTGTATACAGATACTTTGGCCTCTCAAAACATAGAATGAAGGGTAGCATCCAACCAGATCGTTACTTATCAGGGGGTCATCGCTGCAGCATAGTTTGATGTAAGAAATTAAACGCTATCCTAACAGAAGAAGAAGATAAAGAAGGATACCGCAAGAAGCGACAATGGCCACAACGCCGTTAGTGCTTTTCATCGTCAGTTAACCTGGAAATATGAGGAGACCCAGCTGAACTCCGAACCAAATACAGTAGTGTTACAATCAGTCGCTTGGTGGACGAGGCTCCACCTTTCCTTTGCTCACTTCCGACCAATTAGTGCTTAGAGACGTGCCCTGACTTTCAAAGTAACTTTTATTCATGGCCCGACGGGTATTCTCGTCTGCGTTGGCGTAGAGTTTCTTAAAGAACGCATCGACGGCGTCACCTCCGCCAAAGTCGGAGTCAACTGAGTCGGCACCGTCTGATTCGTCTCCAGCATCGTCTGCTTTTGAATCCGTTGGTTCTCCGTCCTTGGCCTTGCCTTTGTCTTTGGGCTTGGGCTTTGCTGTGAGCGACGACGCCAACTTGTCCCAATCTTTGGGTCCCTTGCGGGATGAAGATGGGTATACTGGAGCGGAACTACCGGCAGGAGTTGGGTCCGAGATAACTTGACGACCAGAAAGCTTGATGTCGCCTGCGGAGGCCTCTAGAGCACTCCATTTCTGGCCAGGAGCACGTTTCTTTAAGACAAGCTCAATCTTGGTAGACATGACAGAGATCTTGGAAGAGGATGGGTCGACCGACGCAAACAAAGGATCAAGGGTGAAATCAAACTCAGCGCCAGATGGGAGAGGGAATTGGAGAGATACCTGTAGGTAGGCATGGTCAGCATATTATTGATTGGAATCCATGGAAGAGAAGGATCGTCTGTAGATGACCCTACCGATTCATCCTTTAATTCAATGTCCACTTGATCTTTGGGTACCCCTTTGACGTAGAGAGTCACAACAACGGTCTCATTAGATTGATACCACTCATGCCGAACCTTTTCAGACGGAGGAACAGTGGAAGGAGCTGCAGAAGGGGCGCTTCCAGCCGCACCACTTGGGCCATCCGACGTTTTGGACGTCGAAGCTTCCCCTGTGACCGTTTTGCTAGCTGCGGCAGGCTCACTTTGGGCGCTGCTATCCCCGAGCTTTCCGGATTTGAGAGTATCCAACTGATTCTTAAGCTCCTTCTCGGTCGGAACTAGTACACCACTCGGATATTCCGCAATGGTAACAGCAGCCTTGTCATCCCCCTCAGGCAAATTCTTAAGCTTGCTTTTGACCTTGAGTATCCAGATAGGCAACTCCTGCTCATACCCATTCTTTGATGCGGATCGAGCGCCACCAGCCATACCCATAGCATCCTTCATCCTGTCTGATTTGTCCGCATTCTCCGCGCCCGCGCCGGTCTTCCCCTGGATGATCTCGAATACAAAGCTCGCATCACCATATTTTCCAAGCTGGTATAATGCAACACCACGTCTCATCTGAGCAGCTAAGATTAACTCCCTCTTTCCACGTTCCTGCGCTAGGGTTAGAGCAATCTCCGCATCGCGCAGCGCTGCTTGGGAGTGGGGGCCTCCATCTGCTGGTTTGACTCGAGAGTAGGCGGTCGATCGTTTGAGGTAGTATGGCGGCGCACGAGGTAGTTCGATCAGGGCTTGTGTGAAGTAACGGATAGCACCAAGGAAGTCGGAGCTCGCGAGGGCCTTGTCGCCCTGTGTTGCGGAATTCATATTAGGATCTTGTGGGAGCTATGAGCTCCGCAGCTTGATGTATGTACGATAAGCCTAGCACTGGGGCGCGGGGGCTTGAGGCAGGAAGGAGGGCAGAAGTTATAGCAGAGAAGAACAAAGACTTATTTGTATTCTGAGGCGATGGTATGGTTCAATGGATGTTTCCATCACTTTTCCTTCAGTTTCTTTCTTTCTGTTTGGGTTGGAGATTGCGGGGAAGGCTTATGTCAGCAGACGCAAGCTCAGTCACATGTACGTCACATGAAATTGAAAGTCTTCTTGTTCGTCATCGTTCATTACCACTGAAAATTAAAAGCTATTTGTACATGTAATAAAACATTGGCCAGGTTGTTTCCCTTCATAGGGCAGGCCCAGCCACTCTACAGGAGCTCCTCGTTGCCAAATTTCCTGCTGTATAGTCCCAAAGCGCGAATAGGCCAATAGAACTTATAGTTAGGGTATGAAATCATACTAAACTCATGTCAGCACAACTATTCTATGACACAGATAGAGAATACTCACCAAGATTGGTTGAAAACACCCTCGATAGCTTCCTGCAGCCACTCCCCATTGGGTTGCTGACGGGACATCATAAGTTTCATGGCCTTGCGAAGCGGCTCCTTGTGCGGGTAGCCTGCCTCCATCAGGGCAAGACATGCCCAAGCAGTCTGACATACTTGGGATTTCTCATGTTGGGTGTACACATGTCGCTCACTGCTGAGGTAAGATTCACCCCAACCTCCATCTTCCTTTTGCTTGGAAATGAGGAACTCGCAACCTCGACGGGAATAATCGCTATTTTCATAGGTCTCTCCAATACTCGCGAGACTTTCCAAGGCAAACATGGCAGCGTAGGTGAAGCAGATGCCCCAAGATCCATACCAGCTTCCATCCGATCTCTGCACGCGTTTGATGTATTTGACTGCTTTTTCTTTTGCCGCCAGAATCTCGTCGGATCGGTAATCGGGATAAAACTTGCTGAACAGAGACAGCGCAGTGACGGAGGCAGTGGTACATTCGGGATAGTCGTAACCAATCATAATCCCACCGAAAACTTCAGCGGCATTCAGCCACTCCACCTTGGGCGATGCACGGGTGTTCTCATACTCTGTAAAACCGCCAGAAGGATTTTGCATGAGCAGCAAGCAGTCAACACTATCCTTTAAGCGCTGTACAGATATCAATTTAGGATAGTTGTGGATTTCCTGGAGCTGAATACTAGACCGCAAGCCCTCGGCTGTGCAGTCGCTGACTGTGTAGCCCTGAGTTTTGTTGCTGAAGGGCCATGCACCCTTCCGGTGCTGACGGTAGCACTTCTCCTGGTCAGGTACATTCTCCCGCAGCTGGTGATCATCAAGGAATTCCAGGCTTTTGTGAGCATGGGTCGCCATTTAGGATCATCCGCAAAGCCTGCAACGACGATGGCTTGCGTGATGAAGGATGTATCCCACGCCTGAACACCATTGGTGCCGTTCATCAACATCCCTTCATTCTTCACCCACATATAATCATTTAGACGCTCTCGATGACGACGGACCGAATAGCTATCAGGACCGTCATGGAGATAACAAGCAACCATGTTCATTGGGTTGCTCACAGGACCAAGCCCTGCGTAGTCAGTATTTTCGTCTTCCATGCGAATCAACTCCCAGGTCCATTCTTCAGCACGGCGCACGAGTGCGGGGAACCGCAGGTAGGGATTCCAGACATTGACCAAAAGTGAGTTGATCGTATTCAAGAGCCACGTCTTCGGATAGTAATTGTCAGCCTTGTGAATCGAATTACGGTGCTTTGCGAAGTTAATTGAGTCGTACGGCTCGGTATACAGCTCGCTTCGAAGCTGCTTGGTAAGCGGATCCAGTGGATGAGTGAATTTCTTAGACCACAAGAAAGACATGGGCAAAAAGACCTGGCGAATATGAATCCACCACCGCCATGGGGCAAATGGTACCCAGTCCGGAAGGAGCCTAAAGTAAAATATCAGTACTCGAAGTAGACTAATCATCAACTGGAGGTGAAGCCAAAAAGGAGATAAAAGGGGGCAGAACGGACCAGATTTCGGGAGGAACGGGGTTGACGCAGTCCCAATCCATGACTCCAAGAATGCTAAGCCAAAATTTTGCCCAATGTGGTCCATAAATGGCACCGCCAAATTTATGTAGTAGCCCACGGGCCTTGATCATTCGATGGTCGTCCTCACTGACACCAATTAAGCGCAGCGCGACATAATTCATACAGGTACCAAACACGGAGCTATGGGCCTCGATGTGGAGACCCCAGCCTCCATCTTCGGGATGCTGACGAGCGAAAAGATACCTTTTGATCTCAGTAGCATACTCCGGAGGGATTGGAGTGTTGGTTACATAGTAGGTGATGAGGAGTCCTGGTAACAGGAACATCGGCCCACCATACTCACAGGCCCAATTGCCTGGGGGTAATTGTAGTTTAGAGAAGAATTCCAAACCATTCTCTGCACATTGTAGTGGCGTCTTTGCAGGTGGCAGCTTGGGAAGTCCCTGCAGGGAAGTCAGGATCACGAGTCACAAGATCATCCGAGGCAACGACAACGAGGGTTGGAAAACAATACCGTAGGGAGTCCCAAGAAGTACTTGTCAGCTACGGATTGAGGCCATTTTGCATTCTCTTCATCGGATTCGAGGTAATGCCAGGTGTGACGACCATCATCGTCCAACAATCTCCACCTTGAGTAGTCTGTTTTGGGATCTCCATTAGCATCGGCGGTCAAATGGCCCTGTGCCGCGGTTCTCCAAGGGGCGATAGGATCGGCCATATCTGCTAGAGTGCGTCTGGCAGTATTTGCTTGGATATGCTAGCCTGAAAGAAGCCACCAAAACCTGAGAGATCAGTACCGTCTGGCAATCAATTGCAAGGAGTGGACGAGAATTGGGGGAAAAGATGTCAAATGATTGATAGATCTGGGGTTGGTCGATCTATTGATGGCTTAGTCATCAGGGGCGACACTTGCTGCCTGAACCACAAGGCACTGATCGATATCATACGAGTACTCAATACTGTATGTACTGATACGGTATACACATCTACGTGGCTTGATTCATTGTCGCTTTTCAGTAGAAGCCCTAGAAATAGTCAATCTGCTTAGAATTGCACTTAGTGGTTTCGTTGCGACAAACTGCAACATGATCATGTCATGTTGCTGCATCGCACCTAGTCTAGTGTCTTGCACTCTTTTACTCTTCTCTCCGAACATGCATTCTCATATATTCGAATTCTTTGCATCCGATGGAAGACGCTTTAGAGTACATGGAGTTAGACCTTCCTCAAGACAATGATATGTCAACTTCCCTGCGACTAGTCAAGCGATACGTCAACGAGACTCTGGCATCTGCCCTTGACGAACTATCCACACCAGATGGCCGACCAACCATAACACTCAAACGAAGATCACGGAATGTGTCACTTTTCATTAGTCCCACAAGTAGAGCTCTTGAAAGCAACGGAGCAGACACATATATCACCTATTCCTGGCCCGGCGCAAACGCCTTCGAGGCATGGAAATTCAGTATATACATCATTCTATTGGCAACACTACCAAGGGTCCTTGTACTGATCGTTATGACAATAGCCATTGTCTTTCGAGTTCTTGCAGTCGTTGCAGATGCTATTGACACAGGTTTATTAGTTTCTAAAAGGTCTGCGATTCGCACCAAGCTTTTCGCACCTTCTGATGCCTAAGCAGAGACATATACTACAGCGACCCGGTCTGCTTTGGGACACAGAAAGTTGTTGATGCAATCATCGATGATCTGGCCTACACCATCGGAGTTGACAGATCCGCATTGAATATTGTATGTGAGCTTCCTTTACGACAACTACACTTGAATTGATCCTGTCGGTCTGACGCCTTGGACAATGCAACAGGAAGCGGCTGCAAAAGGGCTTGTGACGGGCTATTGTAGCCTTCTAACCAAATATGGGGAGACAATGGATCTTAGATTACCTGACAAGGTATACAGATTTGAAGAGTACTCCGCTCCCTTTGTCAAAGGCCCCAACTGATCTAGATAGGACTGTCTAGTACCAAGTTCCCAAGACAACGGTGAAATTGACATCTCAGATGCTAGCTGGGTCTTGATCATCGAGAAAGAGGTGCTACAATTGCCCCATAATCTCGTTACGAATACTCACCTAGTACACAGGCCATATACCGTCGACTTGCAAGAAGTAATTATCATACTAGAGCGGCCGCAGGAAGAGGGATTCTCATCACTGTAAGCCCTCCTTAAGCTGCATAACTGGGCCAGTAATCAACAACCACTAGGGCAAAGGCTACCCAGACCTTTCAACTAGAGCCTTCCTACGAAAAATATATGATAAAAGCCGTAGATCAGACAAAATCCTACCTTTCTATGGTCTAGTTGACAGCGACCCCGACGGCATGGCTATTATGTCAACATACAAGTACGGCTCAATGGCACATACGAACCAGAATGGAAGATTGAACATTCCTTGTCTCTGTTGGTTGGGCCTCCGAACGTCCGATGTCGTATCTGGAGCACCGAGCAACGACGACGGGGCTTTGATTAGATTGACGGCACGCGACAGAAAGAAGATCATGACCATGTTGTCGAACAGCCCTGTATGGGCAGCCGAAGGACCCGAACTGGAATGGCGTGCGGAGCTGCAACAAATGCTCATGCTGAACCTGAAAGCTGAGATCGAGATACTTTATGATTGGGATGGAGGACTGGAGGGATGGATTGATCAAAAGATGGCAGGTTTCTCTCCATCGGATAACTAGGACGAGATTACCCATATATATGTATAATTCAAACAAGATATTTACTTTCTATCAGCTCTGCCGAAGAAGACCCGCAAGAACAAGGAAAGAGTGAAAACAGGCCCCGATAGAAGCGCCTTGAACAGTAATGATGTACCATAAACGCCATGGCCCCACCACCAACCAAAGACAGATGCATGCATCCATACCGAGCTATGCTGCCCACCAGCGAGCAATTGCCACAAGCACAAGCTCGGTACAATTGAAGAGGTACCACGCCTCTCCATCATATTCCAACTCCGCAAATAGGCGAACGCCCCTACAGTCCCAAGCCCTTGCGTACCTCATCACGAACCTTGCGCTCATAGTCACTCCTCCGTTCTCTCCACATTTTTGCCGCCTCAACATTGGCAGGACTCTCGTCATTTGGCTCAGCAAGCATACTCATGACAGAGATAAGAATCTTCTCAACGCTCTGGATAGGTGACCACCGCTCCGACGCATGCTCATAGTGGTTCGGATCATCGCCGGGAGGATGAAGAATGGAGATGCACACGGTTCCATTGGGATACACTGTCCAGTGACAAAACATAATCAGCAAAAGCTCAAAATCTCCTGTTAACCACCTCCGCGCCATCGTAGATAAGAACAGGGGGAAGTACCGTTAGGATGCCAAACGCCTCCACCCACAAACTTCATCGTCGGCGGACTCAACGGATAATCTTTTGGAAACTTCAACTCGGCAGCAAAAACACCACCTTCAAAAGGTGTGCCTTGTGGACCCTCAATCAGGGCTTCCCAATGGAACATGTCATCTTCAGTGACCGGGCCCGCGGTGATGCCGTCTGGTGGGTTGGTGGAGAGGTTCTTGTACTCATGGAATAGACGTTTTTGCGCGACGGTGGACATTATTGCTCCCTAGTCCTGTTGCAAGAGTGTGAATATAGAGGGAAAGAAGAACGTTGATTTCGTAGATCAATGAATTGTTTGGCGTTGTATTATTCGTAGTGAGGCGTTTTGCGGAGACAACGGAGTGGGGTTCAAGTGCGGCCTTAATAGTGAAGGCTATCAACTGAAGATGATTTATAGAATTTTTGCTCTTTTCTGTTTGGACAACCCGCGGTAGCAATATGAAGCGATGAAAATCTTCCCGGCTCCAACCCCAGCGCAGTAGATAGAGGAAAATGAAGTTGCCACTGGACAGAAGGGAAAAAGGATGGTTGATGCCCCAGGCCGCACATGTTATTGCCGCTGCTTATCGCCGAGGGGTTCGGCCCGCATTTATGCTTTCATTGATCGGCATTGCTGCATCAAGATGTGAAAAAACAGAAAAAAAAGAGAGAGATAGTGTCTGTCCATGTCCTAATTATAATACAAATGTATTTCTCTATACGAGCAAACAACGCTTCTCATATTGAACTCCCGTAAACCTGCAACCCACCGCTCCAGAGTAAACGCCTTGCAAAACACGATTAAAACCAATCATAATCGTCACCGTCTCCTGCCTCGGTATCGTCTCCCACCCATGGATCCTCTTGACTCTGGGCCCAAGGGTCTTGCGGTTCATCTGCCCAAACATCACCATAAGGGCCTGTTTGGCCGGAGGTAGGTGACTGCTGGTCTTTTGGGAGCACTTGTTGATCTGGTGGAGCGGACTGCGACTGATGCTCTCCCATCGCGCCTCGAGACATTGCGTCATATCCGGCTATCGCTCCAGCACCGGCGGCACCTGCAGCTGCACCCTCAGCCATTCCTCCAGCTGCACCGGCCCGGCCGAGAGTTCCTGCGGCCGCTTCACCCACAGCCCCAGCTTCGCCGGCAGCGGCACCACCAGCCGCAGCCTCTCCGCCAACACCGGGGATCCAGATAGGCATGAAACCAAATCCACCAGTACCACTATGACGACTAAAGTAGTCGAAGTCGATACTTACTGCAGTAGCCAACATGACTGCGCGCTGGTCGAGCGTCATGCCAGTAACAGCATTGTTTTGCGCAGGTATCTGTTCAGGGCTAAAGGCGGCCGAGTCCATTCGTAAAGCATATACACCAGTGTCTGTGAAGAGTTCTCGAGCGAAACCAGAAAAGTTACGGTTAACGGATCCGACGAGTTGATCATTGGCTGAGCGAAGAGAAAAATCCCACGACAAAAAAGGCTCATCAACGTAGGCAAACTGATTGAATTCACCCATAGCTTGACCACCATCTGCCGTTTGAGTTAATTGCATCTCCTGGGTGTTGGAAAGACCGGACTGCCGAAGCGGTTGGGAGACGGTGCCCATATCCGTCGCGCGGGTCGGGGAGTGATGGTAAATGAATAGGTTGTATTTCCGCCGTAATGGTGCCCACTGCTGCTGGGCCTCGCCGATCACGCGCATCTCATCCAGCCCTAGTGACGACACCCGGGCATTGGAATCCCCCGTGGCCTGGATAAGCGAGCCCGACTGAATGTTTTGAAGAGAGGTGGAAGAAGAGTAGGTATTTCTAGCAACATCGAGAGGGTCGTACACGCGGATGCGGGAATTAATCCATGAGAATGGTCGGTGAAACTAGATAATGTCAGCGCTACACTGAAAGCGAAGAGGGTGCTTTCAAGGCTTACGCGCAGAACCTCATTCTCGTGCCTGTCAAAAACGTGCGTCACAAAACTCCTATGGGTTCGGAACCACTGTCGAGCCATCATGTTGGTCATTCCTCGCTCCTGCTCCGCCATGTACCCGATATGATGCCCATTCGCATCCATAATGACATACTTGTTGGCTTGTTCAAACCCACTGCGAAAAAAAAGGAAGTGCCAAGTTAGCCGGTAGATTTCTGACGTTTTCGTACGCCAGAACACTCACATCATAACATTCATGAGCTCCAGCTGCCGCTGCACAACTAGGCCAGAATTTGCTAATATACCGATTGCAGGGTGGTTTTCCTTTAATACTCCACGAGGATCTTCTGGTATATGAACAGGGGAGAGTAGAGTGTTGTGGGCGGGGTCATAGTTCGAATTTGGGGAACTGGCATCGTTTGTCGCTGAACTCGGTGGTTCCGGTTGCTGTGAGGGTGTATTGTCCCTTCTGATGGGCTCTGGCCGTCGTATCGAATTCCGGGGGCCACGAGAGCTAACTCGTCCTCGGGTGAATGAACTTGACAGTGCTCGGCCGGGACCTTTAAGCCAACGCACCGGCTGTAGTTGGAGTCTGGCACTCCACATGTCTGGGGTGAAGATAACAGCTAGTATAGAGTAGGTCAACTCAGAGTAAAGCGGGACTATATTGCAGAGGACCGCAATGGATGGCGGGATGTTGTTGAGATACTGCAGAGAAGCAGCAGGCGGAGACCATGACGAACTTGTCAATGGAGTTAAGCGGAGATAAGGAGGGGCAGAATCAAGTAGAAAGATGGCATCTACCTACCTCTACGCGGCATGGGAATAGAAGCAACGGGATTACTAGTATTTCCACTGACTTATAGAAAGGGCATGTTTCGAAAGTACAACACCATGTGACCTTGCCAGTCAATTCCGGCGTTATCATCCTCATTGTAAGCACCGCCGAGGGTTTACACATGCTATACAATCCATGGATATTATGCAAAGACACCATATCACCTCGCGCCATGCATCATAACCAACTCGAACTGATATCACAAAGAACAATATAAAATAAACCTAGTCCAATCGCGCATACTAAGTTAAGAATCCATCACAAGACGCCCTTCCGAGCCAATTCAATCTTGCGCGCCGCTTCGCCGGGCTGGAATCCTCCCTTCGAGATGCAGACAGCGCTTCCTTCACCGAGTTCAATCTTGTCTTCGCTATCGGGGTGTGCGCATGGGCAATGATGAGGAAAATGGACGCAAGCAAGTGTGCCGGGACATAGATACTTGTCGCATTGAGCTGTAAGCGTGGAAACATGTTAGCTATTATCTAGAGTGTATGGAATAGCGCGCGAGGTGTCATGATCAAGTACCTGATTCCCACATGTTCTGATATCGTGAGCTATCGCTGGGCTCATTTTGAGCGGCTTGCTGCTGATGTTCTTGACGTCCGCCGCCAAACATATGCTCAAAGAACTGGAACTGAGCGTGGGCCACGGAGGCCAGAAGGAGCAAAGCTCCAAAGCTCCGGATCCAGAACTGCAGCATTGCAAGTAGAGCCTGATATATGAGCCTCCGAGGTTATTGGCTGAAGCGATACTATGCCTTACCCAATGTAAGCAACATGTCACCGTTCAAAGTAACTTGTGTAATTTGTATGCAATGAAGCCAACTCTCGCAAACACACGTGACCTGCCAAGACCCAGGCTGGCCGCCGCGAAAAAAGTCACCATAGGAAACCGCGATCAACTCCGTCCAACATCCAGGAACATTAGGGAGTCGCCCGTCCCTTGCTAATCAACATGTTACAACAAAGACTACTGGCACCCCTCCGGGTAGTGGAGAGAGCGATTGTGCCAACGCTCCGCTCAACACAGCCAATCTCCCGACTACCACCACCACCATCAATACTCTCACGAACCAACACCTCCGCATCGACACCATTCTTGAACCGCCTCCTCCCCTTCTCTCAAGTCCGTCATGCCTCCCACGCCACCCAGGGTACGGCGAATCGACATTCCCGTGACCCTGCGGGAAAGCGTCTCGGTGCGAAACGGACTACCGGTGAATACGTCGTTCCGGGTTGTATCATTTTCCGTCAGCGTGGAACGAAATGGTTTCCAGGCGAGAATTGCGCGGTAGGCAGGGATCATACCATCTATGCCACCGAGGCAGGATATGTGCGATACTACTTGGATCCTGAACGGCACCCTGACCGGAAGTACATCGGCGTCTGCTTTGAGAAAGACGGCAAATTGCCTACGCCGCGGAATGCCCCGACCAGACGGAAACTGAATAGGGTCGCTGTCCCTCGCATCGATGACGCCCCTACGCCGATTGCTGGACAGTCGGATCTTGTTGCCACTATTGACAATGGCACTATGGTGTCTAGCGTGGAGGCTGTGAACGCCGATTCAGGCTCCCAGCTGCGTCCC